CATAGCCAGACAGTGCCAGTGGGGCCCAGGGATGCATGATAGAGGATGGAGAATGGCATGGGGAAGGCTCTGAAAGGAGAATTTTGATCTCTAGTGCATCATTCTCATAGCTTAAGAGCAAAGGTAGCAATATCTGTAACCAGATAGGAAAGGGTTTGCTCTTACACACTATTTGCCTGTCAGCCTGAGCTGTGCAGGGTCAATGAGAGAAAGAGCTGAAAGAAACTTGCCCAGAGATGTTTCTGTGGCTGCTCCATCCCAGGAAATGTCCAAGGCCAGGTTAGATGGGGCTCTGAGCAACATAATGGAAAGCGTCTCCCATGGCAGGGTGTTAGAACTAGATAGGCTTTAAAGCTTCCAACCAAAGCCATCCCATGATTCTGTGAAACTCATGGAATACCAGGGTATGGAATTCTAGCAATCAGGAGGTTTTGTGCAAATTCTTCCCTGACAGATGGGATTTCTTTTCCCCTCAGTCTTGTTTGTGACTCTCTGCTGAGGCACTCACATGCGTATCTTGGCTCCACACTGTTGCAGTGAGTTGTCCTGTTTAAGCCAATCCAAATGATTGGTTATCCTCCAGAGAGGTTTGTAACCTCCACGCAGCTGAGGGATGATAGCTGTGCTCCATTTATAAAACAGTCCTTAGCCAACACGCAAATTGCACTAAGGCTGCTGCTGCCCCTTTAGTCCCCAAAGGCTGCTCCGCTCATTCCTCACTCTCTGACACTTCTCCTTTCCTGAGCATTAGAATCCCTGTTCAGATGTCCTGCAGGATGGCCTGTGACTGAGAAAGGAGTATTCTGCTGTGCTTCCTGAACAAGAAGGGAAGCAGTCACTCACACCTCATTAGCTACTGGACCACACATCTGTTCCCAGCTTCCACACTGGCATCCATCTCACTGATGGGCAGGAATTAGGTAGACCCCAGAGTGAGCAGAGGAAAATTAATTTGTGCCTTCTACCCCATCTTCTTCCCAAAAGCTGCTTTGAGCTTTGCTTTTTAAGGATAGAAACTACTGGCCCTTGGCTCAGCCAGGACTAAGCATGGTTTAATAAGGTCACAGAATGATTTGGGTTGGAAGGGACCTTAAAGACCACCTCATTCCAACCCCCTGGCCTGAGCAGGGACACCTTCCACCAGACCAGGTTGCTCAAGATACTTGTTCCTTCCTTGCCCTGGCTGGCAGAGAGGGGATAAGGGGACACTCTCCCTAGGTGACCCCTCAGCAGCAGCACTGATCCTGGCACTGCCAAAGAAACAGATTTTGGCCAGTCACGTGCAAAAAAGCTCTCACCCAGCCACAATCCCCCTAACACATTAACTTAGCCTCGCCCCAAATACCAGGTTCAACTCTGGCCTGAAAGGCACTTTTAAACCCAGAAGCACATGAGCACAGAGCTCCTCTGCCCTGGCTTTGTATGTGAGGCAGGTTCAGGGCCTGGGTGAAAGACTTGACTCCACCTGAAGTTGAAGCAGGATGCTCACTGCAGCACTGGACCTGCTAATCTCTGCCGCTAGGAAGATCACCCTGACACTGTCTAGCATCAATCCAATATTTTCTTCCTTTGCCTTCTGCACATTACATAAGTGGGGAGCCCCTTGGAGGCAGAAAGGAGGGGCTGTGGTGGCCAGCTGCTGCTCCCTAGGAGGGCAAGAAAAGGGAGCAGTGAGTGGAAAGGACTGTCACAACCAGAGTGGCTTTGCTGCAAGTAAAGGCTCTCCAGCTGGGGCTGCGTGGGAGGGAGCAGAGATTCTGCCAGCAAGCAGAAAGGTGGAAGATGTGTCGTGATGTGTTTATGTTGGTTTTTTGGTTTTTGGCTTTTTTTTTTTTTTTTTTGGCTTTTTTTGTTTTTGTTTTTGTTTTTAACATGAGCTAGTTTTATTTCTCTTGTGGCCCCTTCCTCATGCAGAACTCTCACAGGTAAGAGTTCACAGCTCTTGAGACAGACTGGGCAGACAGGGCTTGTATCAACAACCTCCAGCATTTTAAACCAGCAGCAAAGAATCCAACTAAAAGTATCTCCTCTCTATCACCCACAAAACATTTTTGGTCAGATTATCAGATTTCTCATCTTACGACAGCTCTTGTGTCCTATCCACAGAGCCAAATGTGTGTGGGTCCAGGCATGAGAGACAGCAAAATGACAGCTGAGATCCTTTGAAAGTTGTCAAAATCCAACATGATTTCAAAACGATGTTTTGGGGTGAAAGAATAATAAAAATACCCCTAACAAGTTGAACTCTTCATGCTTCTTTCCCACTCTGTTTGTCAGCACTCTGAGCAGGGTGAGAGCACATAATTAATATTTTCTGTCTGCATCTGTTGTACCCAGGCAAAAACTGCTCCCAGCCCTGCCCCAGCCTCACATCCCCCAGGGCAGTTAATGTGCAGAGAGGCACTGTTTTGCCCTAGTAATCTTGTTTACACGTTTCCTCTGCATTTTATTTTCTGTAATCTCATTTGCCAGCCTGAAAGGTAAGAACAAAACAGAAAGAGCTACCAACAACAACAACAACAAAAAAGCAGGAGGCTCGCAGGAATGCCCCTGCTCATCTCACGTAGGCAGGAATGTGCTTTTCCACCGCTGCCACGTGAGGAATGGCACCTCTGTGCTCAGTGTTCCCGGGCAGCAGCACAAAGCACAGGGATTTGTGGGCAGTTAATTCAGATAATTGTATTTTCCTGCTGCCCGTGGAACGGAAACGCCGGAGCTCCGGGGGCAGAGGATTCCACGTGCACTCGCCTGCCGTATGTAGTGCACCGAATGCCTGCAGCTGCCCTCCCCTAGTCCCATCTGTTGGAGATTGATGTTGATTTTGCTCATCTTGCCTCCTGAAAAACCAGCAATAATAATGAATGAACTCGGCGTTCAGCAGTGTTGGCAGCCGAATCGGGCTGATGGCAGGCACATAGTCTGCAAGGTTCCTTTGCTGCAAACATGCTCACAAGGGGATGGAACTGGATCCTGGGATTAAGAATCCTGTCCTAGACAGGTCTTTGCACCACCTTCACCTCAGTGGATTTCAGTCCATCACTTTTCCTAACATTAGGAGGCTTCTGTTGTGTTTACCTTGCACCTTTTTTCCTGTAACTACAGGCACAAAGTTCAAGCACAGAGCTACGTGCTGGTTAAGGACAGTCAACTTCTAAGCAAAATCCCCTTTTCAGGTTGAAGATATTTTCATCTAAATTTAATCTTTTATTGCAAATTAAAAGCTGATAAATAGAATAAAAATTATTTGATTAGCCTAGCCTGAAACTCAAGCTTATTAAACCATTGACTTGCTTCCTATGCTCTAATAATGACAAAGAGAAGCTGGAAAGAAATTAATGAACATGCTTTTGGCAAAACAGCAGCAGCAGCTCACCTAAATGAAAGAAGATGCCTTATTAATAGAAACCTTAATTATAAGCCAGCCCCAGCTGTTTGTTTACAGGAACATATCTTGTTTCTGATTGGAGATGTCTAGATGTGTACACTATGCCTCCAGGATGTAAGAACAATCAGGAGCTGTCATTCTGGGGGACATGAGAAAATAGAGCTCCACTCAGTTCAGTGATGGAGGTGTAGGTAAGTCAGACAAGCCACCTGTCCCCATCACCACTGTCACCACTCACAATGCTCAGGCTTCTCCCTGGGGGTCCTATTGCCCGTTCCCTGTGGTAAATAGCCCACAGCTTGAGTTGGTTCAGCCTTTGTTCTATTTAAATGGGACATTTTGCAATTTGTACAATTTATAATCCTGAACAGAGGCTTGGCATACAGCATTAAACAGACAAGGACTGGAAATGTCCTTTTCTTTTTGCTTTGTAAACAGTTGTATTTGGTGGAGTCTTACTTGCAGCAAGGACATGTTCCCAACACACTGAAAGTGATAGAAAATTTCCCACTGACTTCACTAAACCTTTGAGACCCAAAGGAATATTACAGTAATAAAAAGACAGCATTGTACAATGGCCTCAAGTTTCTACTGGCACTGAATGTCTTTTCCAAAGAAAAAGCCAAAAAAAGCTGAATCACCCCAAAGCGGGAGAGGCACTGAATGGTTTCATGCCCTTGCTCTGAGGGACTTTAATGTCCATGAATGCTCAGAGGACTCAGAATTTTGATTAGTTCACTCCAAGATCAAAGCCTGTTTCCAGACTCAGAAATCTCCTCATTAAAGCCTGAGTCCTGCATCCATTTGTGCATCTGTTCATGTCAGTCAGGCTATGCCTCAGCACAGAACTGAGCACCTCACTGGATCTATCCAGCAAAAGAAAATCAGGGGAGTTGGAAGGAATGGGAAGATCCACATGACAAGTATGAAGTTCTCTAGTTAAAGGCCTAAGGCTTCCATCAGCCCACAGATCGCCCAGGTCTTGGTATCCTTTCCCTTAGTAGAGAGGGTTACAAAAAACCCAACCAAATTCCTTTAAAAAGTTTGTGATTCACAGAAACAAGTTGTATTTAAATGCAGGTAAACTCTGAGGTGTTCAGTGAGCAAAACCAGAAGAGCTTCACTAATGGCAAGGAAATGAGGCTGGTTCATGCGAGCTGAGAATTTGCCTAAAGGACTCTGACAAGGCTGGGCCAGGTCCTACAGCATCCAGTTCCAAGAGCTGCACAGGGAAGTACTGTCCTCACACAAATTCCTGGTGAAATGGGTGACACTCCACTGATTCATGTAATATCAGTTCTAAAATTAGCCATGGATGAGAACTGAAATAAAGAACATAAACCTTTATGGAGCAGGAAAATTTAACTTTCAAGTCCAAAGAGACTTGTGAAGAACTATTCCTGAACTGAGCTTACCACTTCCTGGTAATTTTTTCACCACCTCAAATCCCATATCAGAAGAATTTCAGGCTGTGACAGACAGATATAGATAGAGATATAGATATAGAAACAGATATAAATATAGATTAGCACATTTAAAATTATCAGTCACTATTATTCAGAAACTGTTATCACTGTCACGCACACAGAATATGGTTCTGAAGGATGGGGACATTATTTTATTAAGTTACGGATGGGGAACAGGCATAAAGAATACAGATAATGCACATATTTGAAATAGCAATATAAACATAAACAATGTTCAAGTCAAAGTCACATGAAAAATTATACTAATCTTCAGATGCATTCTAGACCTGTATGTGCAACATTTTTATGGTAAAAGTAGAAATACAAACTCCAGAGATGCAGCACATCTCAAGAATACAAAATAAATAAACAAAGACAAGTGCCAATAAAAGAAAAAGAACAAACACTTGAATCTTCTTCCAGAATTATGAGAAAGTTTGATATGTAAGAAGCACGGGATAAGATGCCCAATCGATGACAAGAACTCAACTTATTTCCAAGCAAAAGCTCAAGTAATGAAGTCTTGTGCCTGGGAGTAAGCCCCAAAGCATTTAAACTTTTCTCACTCCTGTTGTGAAGCTGAACAATTCTTCTATGAGAGAAACCTCGGAGGAGACCACTGTTTCAGCAATCCCAGTGAAGGAATCCAATTCTGGGGATGATGGGGACCTCACAGTTATTTATCCAGAAGGAAGTTTTTCAGCAGCTTCTAACCCAAGATGACTTGAGAACAAGGAATAGGCTGGTTTGGTTTCAGACTCTGCAGCAGTGTCTTCCTAATGGTCAGTGTCTGCAGGAGGAAGGCAATCAGGACAGTGTCATGCAAAAAGCTGCATTAATTAAGGAGGAAAAACCATTAGGCTCCACACTGGACACAAAATTATGGCTTAGAACAAAGTGGAAGGTGTCCTTTCCCATGGCAGGGAGTTGGAACTAGAGGGTCTTTAAGGTCCTTTCCAACCCAGACCATTCTATGACTCTCTGATTCTCTGAAAGACTCACCATTATTTCACTTCCCTTTCAAGAGTGTTACAATTAATTGAGTGACACTGAGCACCATCAATGGTTTTTTTGCTGGAAGTTTCTCCCTCATCAATTTGTTTGCATAACCAAATATCCTAGAGAAAAAAAAAGCAAAAAACAAACAGGCCTGTTTCCACTCCCACAATCCTTGCAAATTAGATTTTTTTGGTAGATTTTTCCTCTCCAGAAAAATAGGTCAGTTCCCCTGCAGTAATGCACACAATCTGAGGCCCATGTTTCTGCTTGGAATGAGCACACATGGAATGCAACTGCCCCTTGGAGCTGTGCATCTGCACATGCCACCCTCTCCTTCAACTGGTCAAGTGACCATTTGCAGATTTCCCCTGCCTTCAGAGCTGAAGCAAGGCCTAAATACTTAAGCCTTTTTCTACTTCCAATCTCCCTCTCTGAAAATATGGACCATAAATATCCTCTCCCAGGAGATTAGTCCTGGAACCTTATTGGGCTTAAAGTTACGTTCAAACAATGTCCTAATAAAAACAAATAGTAAATAAAGTGCATTCCAAGGACATCAAATCATTATTACAATGACTTCCATTTTTGTAGAACTTCCAAAATAAGTCTTTCTTTCTTTATGCATTGGAAAATAAAAAAGACGTGGTATACAAGAATAAGCTAAATACATGGAAATATAAAAGTAAAAAATAACAGGAGATTGCTTAAGAAAAATATTTAAAACCAGAGAAGTTATTCCCAAGTAGCTTCCCAGGCAGCTTCTGTAAGACAAAATAGGAAAGAAAGAAGCAGAAAAAAAGGGATTTTTCAGCTCACTGGGATGAAAGAAGCTGGTTTCAATGGGGTCTGAAAGGGAGCAAGGAGTACTGTGACCATAACTGCACACCTGAACCCCATGATTTTACACACACCCCCCCCCTCCTTAAATCCATCACAATTGAACAGTGCCTTCTTTCAGCGTGTGTGCAAACACTCCACTTCATAAAGCAGACCTGAAAGGGCAAAGAGGAGAGAGAGCCAAACAAATACTGGTCATTCACCCTGTGAATCCTGCAGCGTGGGGACCACACAGCCACCTTCCTGCCTGTCTCAGAAGGCTGTTCCCCAGTTTTGATAAAGTTTTACACAGTCTTGAAGGGAAACTTAAACCCAAAGGTGACGTACATAAAAAAAAAGAAACAACAAAAAAAAAGCAGCAAAGTGAAATCCTTTGGAAAGGTTTTGAAGTGAATCTGTGTGAAATAAAATAAACAGTTCTCCCTACTCTGAAATGCCAAAGGCAGTTTCTGCCAGAAGAGCTCCCCACGTGTTAATCTGCAGTGAAGCCTCAGTGCCAGAGCTGGCACCCTCTGAAGTCAAGGAAAAGCTCCTCCTGTCTTTATGGTGCCCAGATTCCTGGCTGGATTGAAAAATACCAGAGTAAGAGCTCCCTAAGCTCCCACCAGCTCTCTGAAGATCACTGCCCAGTGATTAGAGGAGATGTCTAGGGGACTGGGTTAGAAACCTCACAGTGGCTGAGCTGGAAATGCTCCCTAGAAGGGATCCTGATTTTGTTCTGAGTGATCTCGGAACAAGGCCTATCAAATCTGATGGCAGATTTGAGTAGAAAAGAAAGATTCACATCTCAAAATAAAATATTTGGTGCTCTTTTTTTTGTATTTTATTTTACCAATTCTACTTTTCCTACCTTTTCCCCCTACTGATTTACGTTAGCTAGAATCAAACTTGAGTATTGTGTGGGTTTTTCATGGTATTTTCATACTCTTCTCCTTTTCTCCTTTTGAAGGAAGAAGGAGAGCTAAAAAAAGGTTGGAAAATGAAAGGGACTTCACTCATTTAAATTTCGAATAGATAAATTTTTTTCAGCTGATGTCAAACTGACTGAAATTGACATTTAATGAACTAAAATTTACATTTTCATGTAAACATTAAACATACAAATGTAGCATTTTGACGCCCTTTGCTCTGTATTTTCTGCAGCAGGAATGTCGTGATTAAGAATTTTCAGCTAACTTGAGGGCATGAGTATTAGGAGTCCCTGCAATCTGGCATCCTGAGCCATAATCTTTCTGAGTAGCATGGAGGGATCTGTTTTGAGCAGCAGAGCATCTACACTACAGCAGAGTGCTGCCTGTAATACAAGCAAGGATAACACAAGGCAGGAGATTAATATTCTGCATCACACTGGGCTCTGTTATTTTTATCCTGCTGTTTCCTTCACTCACCATCTCATGACTCACACCCTCCCCACACTGGAATTTCTGCCTCGGTCTCGTGGCTCACTAGTGTGTTAGGGAAGCCGTGGAGAGCTGTCTGGAGAACACCGCTCCTGCTTGAGCTCCAGGTCACTCTGGAAAACACAGAGAGGCAGCAGAATTTACTGGTTTATCACACACCTGCTCTGGCTGTTCCAAACTGTCTTCAGCACTTGTAAGGGTTGCAGTTCTCCCTTGTTTTTACAGCCTTAGTGACATGTCTGGATGCAAGTCCCAGTGCCAGACAATCTCATGGAAAGCTGGCACTGCACCAGCCTTTAGTAAAAGTACAGGGTTCAACCTGTGAGGGGGGAAAGGGCTCTTGAGAGACAGGTGAATGTAATTCAAGATAAGCAAAAGAGCTGCTCCTTACACATTTCTTCGTTATCACTTTAGGGATATGGTCCTCAATGCCACACTAGCAGGGTTGATGCTTCCTGAGTCCAAACAGCTCCTGATGTGGGGTGGGAAGGCCAGGTCACAGGAAGAATCAGATGCTGAAATCCTTACTAATTGCACATATAGCTATGGTGATCCCAAATGCAGAATATCAAAACCCCAGTAGAGTCCCCTGCTGTAGAATCCTGCACTCACACTTCCCAGTGGATTCAGTTCCCCAAGTGCCCGGACTCTGGCTTCTCTTTAAATCCAGAAGTAACACGGAGTTTGCCAATTAGGAACCTAAATTCTACCTCCTCCCAGAAATGAGGCTGATCAGAGGAAGCATAATTATTTTTTCTTACCTCCTTATGGAGTGGTAACAGCCCCTGCTCAAAAATCCCAATTCCCTCCTTTCCCTCTATCTAACTTCCATCTCCATCTTCCTGAGGGCATTTCCAAACCCGTCAGAAGCCAAGAGCACAGAATGTTCGCTTTTTATGTGAACAAGCAAATATTCTCTAGGCTAGAGGGAGTATTTCATGCAGCAACTGGACACCATAGCACCCTTCAAAAAAATATTCACACCAGAAAATAACAGATAAATCTCACTCTAGATGTTTCCTCCTTTTTTGCCCTGCCACTTTCAAAAATGAACTTTATTGAAAGGTGCCAAAGAAGCCTTGTCCACAGAATATTTACCAAAAAAAAAAGCATTTAACTGGGGAAAGGGGAATAAAATCCTAACTCAGCTGTGAGAATTCTACTCAGTAGGAAGATTCCCCTCACACAGGTATTGAAGCAATGGGCTCTCCAGTACCTTTGACTGTATCTAGCCAAAGTAATGCCCTTTTTTGCTGAGAAGGTAGGAAGGTGTCTGCTTGGTTATAGAGTCAGTTTAGCAGAATGATCACTTGTGATCCATAGTGTTATTCCAGCTTTCCCAGGAAAACATAGCAAAGTCAAACAGCCCTTTCTCACAAGCTTTTAGATCCCCTGGCCTCCTGGTTTTTTTTGTTTGTTTTTTTTTTTTTTTTTTTTTGGGGTTTTTTTTTTTTTTTTTAGGAGAGACACTGGAAAACATAAAGCATGTTTTACTTCTATGGATGTTTTGTTCTCAAGATTTGTCCTGGGGCAAACTTCCTACCCCCTCACATCAACTCAAGTCCTTCACGTGTACTGCTGCTGATGACTCAGAACAGTCAATGAGCCTTTTGTTGGTGACACAGCCTCATCCAGCAGAGACTTTGTTACTCAGAACTCAAACACCAGCTCAAGCCACCTGTCGCCCTCTCCTCTTGTCCCTCCCCAGCATAACTGGCTGCCTGGAGGGGGGATGTGCATGATGGAGCAGGAAGGCTGACAGCTTGCACACCCACACCACATTCAAATGCCAGGTCTCCCCTGAATCCAAAGGGCAGAAGCTTCCCTCAGTACACCCTCAGTCTAGAAATGTGACCTCAACACAACAGTCATGCCCTTCCTTTCAGACAATTCCTCCAGCTGGAGGTCGATCAATGCGAGAGCCCCAGGAGAGGCTGAGGAGGATGTGATTACTGACCTGAAATGAAGCCTGTGCACACTGCAGGAGAAGCTTCCACTAAAATCTCTTCCACTGGAATCAACACCTCAGGACAACAAATGCTTGTTAATCTTGTTAATGCAGCAGTGTCCTGCTGTAAGCTTTCTGTTTAACAGAGAGGCTCCTTGGTACTACTGAGTTAAACAAGTTTTTGCTATCAAACACCTGTCAGCAGTCCTTTAGAGTAAGGTTTGTCCTGCTGCAATCTCCTGTCCTGAACCTTTGTCGGCAGCTGTTCTAAGCAGACTCTATGAATCCAGAGGAACCCTTTCCATATCTTACTTCTCAGCTCTGTCTTATCACTTGAGGTGCACAGAAGGTCAAGAAAGGACATAAAAATATCTCAAAGAGGGTGTCAAGAGAATGGTGCCAGGCTCTCTTCAGTGGTGCTCAATGACAGGACAGGGAGCAATGGACATAAACTAAACACAAGAAGTTCCCCCTCAGCACGAGGAAGAATTTCTTTCCATTGAGGGTGGCAGAGGACTGGAACAGCTGCCCAGGGAGGGCCTGGAGTTCCCCCTCTGGAGACATTCCCAACCTGCCTGGGTGTGTTCCTGTGTCACCTGCTCTGGGTGACCCAGCCTGGGCAGGGGGGCTGGACTGGATGAGCTCCAGAGGTCCCTTCCAGCCCTTAGGATTCTCTGAAAGCCATCACTCAGAAGAGTCAGGAAATGACTTGCAAAGAGCAGCTTTCCATTCACATGGAGCTGCACTTCCTCCCACTCTTCTCCAAACACAAGGAAAGGAAGGTGCAGGGGCACTTTTGTCAAATGGAATAGAGCAAAGCAAGGGACTTTCTCCATTAACTGCTTTTTCTGGAGGCTGTTAGGTGCTTGGAAGGTACATTTTTCATGGAAACATTCCTGATTCAATCCAGAGTTCTCTGGCAAAGGTTTCCTCAGTCATATGGGAGATGAGCTCTTTGCCACCTCTCACAGACGGTAACTTGCAGTTCCTACAGGCTAGAGCAGGGTGGTTCATTTTAAACAAGATTTTTAATATTCCAGAAAAAAGATAAAGCTAGTATGATTTCCTTCTAGTAATTCAGAAGCAGGAGTTGCAATCCAGAGGGTAAACTAACTAGTAAAATGATAATTTCCAGAGAGCAATGATCAAAATTGCCTCACATCCGTACATTGCATTCCTGGAACTCAATCTTCATGGCAAATGGATGCCTACCATTGGATAAAAATGTCATCTGGCACTGAAAACAACAAAGAAGGATGGTAGTTCCTCGCTCACAGCATCACTGAAAAGCACTTAAAATTATTGATGTAAGATTAAAGCCTTAAACATAAAACCACATCATTAAACAGAAGGAATTCTGCCTTGAATACCAAGTGTCACCAGTTTCAAGACAAGTATAGTTCTATATCTGGAACAAGAATTAAGGGGAAAGGAATCTGAAAAACCCAAATATCACTACTCGATATTTTGTCTTGAGAAATGGGTGAGATATTTCTCCATCTCACAAAGAGTTTCTGTCCTAAGAGGAAAGGTTCACAGTTTGCTTTTTCAAGAATCTACAAGTTTTGTACTTTCTAGTATTAACTGATTTATGCAAATTTTATCCTTATCCTGTCCATAAATTAAGGAGTTGCCAATCTTGCTGTATTTTAAGTCAGATCAGCACCAGATGGAGAGCAGACTTGCTTATTAAGGGGTTTCATCAAAAGAGTAATTAAGCAAATACACATCTGAAATCCAGTGTCAATACTGACAAGTCTAACAAACTTTCCTAAGGAACTTCCTGATTCTGTGGTGGCTGCATTCAGTTTTAAGTTCTTGGCAGAGATCAGTATCCTACACTTGAACCGTGCTGTCCAAAATGTCTAAACTGAGTCCTGAGCCCAGTTGTGACTCCCATGAAGTCAGTCACACCACATCAAGTGTCTTCCACTGTGTCAGGACCGTGACTTACTGGTTTTGAGTCAGATATTGGCAAATGCCTAAAGTGCACCCTTTGGCTGCCATGGCAAGGTCTAGATTAACACTTTCACCTCTGGCTTGATTAGACCAACCTTGCTATGTTCAGCAGTATTAGAGCAATCTTTTTGTGGCATTGCCTTTCCTCTGTTCCTGCTCCCACACAGGCTCTGTGAGCACAGACTTTTGCTCTGTGAACTTGCAATGTAGACCAGGAGCACCTTCCCATCAGAAAAACACAGGTTTTATTCAAACAACAGCAACTCCCCTCATGAAATGCAGCATCAGGTCAGGCTTGCCTATGACAAAGGCAAATTTAGGCTAGCACAAGGCAGTGTTGAGTCTGACAGTGTTTGACTTCCACAGGTGCTGCTGGAGCTTGTGGGAGGTGTTGCTGTGACTCGTGGAGGCTGGCAGAATTAACAGGGCAGCGTGGTGAGATAATACTGTTAATGACTCTGGTGGCTGTGGGAAGAACCAGGCCATTCACAAACTGAAAAGGGACAAAAGATCTTTCAGGAAAGGGCATGGGAGCAGCCACAGCTTCTCTGGGCAACTGTGCCAGGGCCTCACCACCCTCACAGAGAACAATTTCTTCCTAACAGCCAGTCTAAACCTGTTCTCTGTCAGTGTGAAGCCATTTCCCCTTGTTCTGACACTACATTTGTAAAAAAATTCTCTCCATCTTTGTCCCTTCAGGTACAGAAAGGGATTTGTTCCTGTGAAGCCTGCACCTGCTTCAAGAAAGGCTGAATGCCCCCCCAGAGAGTGACACACCTGGTATAATCATGGGAGAAGACCAGGCAAGGCTCCCTGGTGCTTGTGTTCCACTGAATATTTTCATTTTCTTTGGAAAGAGAGAAATGAGACAGAATAGTCTACAAATGATAATTCATTTACAGTAGTTAGGACAAAAGGAATGTTGAGATTCTTCAGAGAAAGAGGAGAAAGTTGGCTGAACATACAGCAAAATGGCCAGTAAAGCTTGCAGCTGCATAACGTGTAAGAAAAAATCCTCACATGTATCACAGAGATCTAAACTTTTGTCTGAGTTCTGAAAAAACACATTCTGGGTATTTATAGTGATACTGGTTAAAAAGAAGCCAGCCCAAATTTAAATCTTAATCAGACTAAAACTTAACCAACAGTGAATATTCAAGAGACCTGGCTGCTACCACTTAGAATTTAGAGTCAGTGCTCTAAATT